GACTATATATAAGACAACAATACAACAACAACTTGACCATGAAAATAAACAACCATCAAGAGTGTACAAAATGAACAGTTCTACTATAGTAAGGATCATTTTGTCAATGGATAGATTTATACTAATATGTACAACACTTATGCCCAAGTCTTCAAAAGAAAAACTGGTCTTATAGCAAAAACAAAATTGCTGAAACCAGTCTGCTCAAGCCTAATCGGCCAGAAACCTAATATTACTGTATTAAACCTGTGATGTACCATTTTTCCAACACCTGGAGGGGTGTAGGTATGCCATGGTAGGGTATGAGTGGCTGACAACAGAGCATCTCAACTGTCAAGGTACCCACGGGTATATGCCTGTCTCTTATACACATCTAGATGTGTATAAGAGACTGATTTTTAGGGGTTGTGAAAAATGAAAATGCGGAATTAAACCCCCTACAGTACAGTATTCCAATGGAAACTTAATATTTAGTAATTCTTAGTAATTTTAACCCACCTCACTTTGGAATTTATTTGCTGCCATGGGGATGCGTCTCCACCCACCCCGCCCCAGCCTATGCCCTTGGTACCAATTCCAAAATAAATCATGACTACACATGCAATGAGCAATTATGGTACCCCTGCCCTCCGGATAATACTTGGCAAACTGACACACTGTGCTACCGTATCTTCTACCTGCGGAGCCACCTCATGTACACACAGAATTTGTATTAACAATACCTTACATTTTCAATGCCACAATATATAAAATGGATTCATACTACTCTACATGTAGACGAGGCAAACAGGTGTCTTTACAGAAGTACACAAGTGAAATTCACAGTGAAACTCCGACCCCATACCCTGGTCATATTACGGCAGAAAAATGCTGGTAGGTAAAATCAGACAATAAATACTGTAAACAGAAACAGAGTCAATGTTTATTGCCTGTGAAGTTAATGAATCTACCTCTGTAATTGGCACCACCACTTAATTTCAATTCTCGCAAAATTAGAGTTTGTTGGGAACTGACGGTTTTAAATACTTTTATAAATGGTAAAGGTGCTGCATTCAAAGCAGTCCTCGAATAGTTGCATAGTCCTAATAATAAGCAAGTTTACTACAGATTTGAAATAAAATAACAAAATTAAGCATTTTCATGCCAAAAACATTTTTCAGGGTCGCTAGGTTTAATGTTGTCGGTGACTGGTAATAGAACTTGTCATGTCTTTCTTTCTTTGTGCAAGTGTACTGTGGGCGAAGTAACATTTCCTGAACTGGGCTATTTCCTGAATTGGGTTTTTCCCCCCATCAGAGTAAAACTAGATATTTTTTTTCTATCATATTGACCTTGCTTCTTACGACTAACCAAATATTGATACCTCCTCGGACGTCGTCCATACAACAACTCCCTGGTAATAGTAATCCTGTGGGAGTATTTTTAAACCAAACATGAAGTTACAGGCATAATCGTGACAAAAACAGTGTTTTTTTGGATTTTTTTATCAGCCATACAAAGTTTGTTCAACTTAATAGTTTGGCAGACAATCTGTATTTTCTGTGTGATTTTACCTATGCTATATCCACCAAACACCAGGGCTTTAAAGCCTAAAAAACATTTCGCCTATAAAATCTCGGGTCTACTCATAATACTAGAAATTGCAAATTGCAAGTGAAGTGCTGCGAAGTACAACTGCATATAAATGTTCTTCGAACAAAATTATTTATAATAAAATAAAAATATAACAAATAATATGAGACACGACCCATTGTCTATATTAGAACACTTCTCATTGGGTAACAAAGTCGTAATTTTTCATTTATTATAGTGTCTATAGTGATGAATTATGATTTAGGTTTTTTTTAATAAAGTTTCAAAAATTTCTATGTATGTGGAAAATGTAGTTGATACCAAAGGTTACAATTTTTATTTTGAAGACTGCATGGTCTAGGAAGTGTACATTTTTTTATGTTCAAGTTTCCAAGGGCCGGTTTTCTAGGGGTGAGGTGACTGCCAAAGAGTGTTGCCAAAGTGCGAGCCAGCGTGTTATTTGATCACAAGTGCGAGACATCACAAGTGTGAGCCAGCGAGCCATGACGTCACGACAATAGATACGAGACGTTACTCGAGTTGTGCGAGGTATCGGCTGAGATTTGTGGAGTACAATTCAAAAAACAACTATAGGTCTAATAATGAATTATTGTGATGTTAGACAATGTTAGCTCAAGGAGCGACGTTGTTTTTCATTGGGACCTTCGTCCCTTCAAGGCTAGGCCTATACCATCCTAGCTAGTCTAGGCCTAGAGTAGGATAAGACTAGCGTGACATGCGGACGTTGGTATGTGTTGGTTAGTCTACAAACGTTGCCTAAAGTAATTGATTTTACCCAGCAGAACGAAAGAAGGAAACTCCGCTTTTCAGTCGTCTTAGGCCTTTGTTTTTTGACAAACAATGACCTTTCGGAGGTCAAATTGCTGTCAAGAATATGAATTGGCTGCTTCGCAGCAAAAAATAATCTCTGATCAAGTTTTTATTTTTAATTTGCTATGTCATATTTAGCTGAACTAAGACTACCAATAAGATAGTTAATACATACTCCAAGTATCGAAATGCACGCCATCGTGTCGAGATTCAATATTTCGACATTAATTATGTCATCATTAGGAATGACTACCAATCTTTTGGCATTTGTTGATTGGTTGATAACAAATTTAATTCTAGATAGATCTGGGTAGGGTCATCCCTACTTCACGTTGGTCCAGTGTTGTGTTTTAGCCTTCACTTTATTGAAAAAATATTAATTGAATGGTTATTAATTTTAGTTTCTTTAAATATATTTGTTTATAACTTAATTTTTTCTCGCAGGCCAGAATAATTTGCTTCACGGCCAAATTTTACCAGCGGGTTGGCTATTCAGAACCAGGGTTATAAGGCATTAAAAGAATAAACAAAAACAACTAAATAATTCACATTTCTACTTGACATCCAACATGAATAATTTCTGTATTATTAATGTTTTTAAATCATACTGTGATTAGACTGTATTCCACTAAGCACCACCCCTTGGATATTGTTGCCAAGGTCCAATAAATGACAGCTAGCCATAACCCTATAGCTAGCTATAGGGTTATGGGACATATGTTATTCCTAGCCCTGTCTATTGAATATATTATATTTTGATTGGTTAGATGTTAAGTTTAATTAACATACAAGAAAGGTCATATACAAACCATTTGTTTTGTGAGCTATTTTGATAGGGAAAATATCAATGGCAGATATCCAGGAATTCAAAACAGGGATGGGGGCCCAGACAGACAGATAGAAGGTTTAGAACACCTTAGTCCATATTTTACGGCTATGGCGCATCTAGATTGCGCAAATAGCATTCTTTAATTATGATGAATATGATTTTCTTTTCTTTTTTGCATGGCTAGATTTAAATTTATATTGAATGGTATTACAATACAGTATTTCTAATAAATTAACCATAACCACTGTATAATTTATGCACAGTACTGGTACAAACTGTGTATCAAGTTACACGCTTGACTAAACTCACAACAAAGATTCTCATTATACATCAATGAACATTATTATTTTATTATTTTAATTCAAATAGTTACCACCGATGTTTGTACTACAGGTCTATCTGTCTGTCTAGCAGGAAAGCAAAAAACGAATAGATCAATGCCATCATCAAAATTAATTGAGTGTTGGTACATGAGACTTTTAGAGATGCATTTTCGGGTGAAAAGGTCAAAGGACAAGGTCAGGGTCACCAAAACTTTCAAAATCACATTAATATTAAGGATTATGCCACATAAAACTATTTGAATGGATCAATAAACTTCATATAATCAAATCAATCAATCAATTCAAATTACAGTAGCACATTGAGTATATATTGCAAACATCAATCTAATTCATATGCTAAATAGTTAAAACGTTTTATTGAATATAAATATGATTGGGACTTTCAGGTTGGAAAATCACAAAACAACATTTTTATAATCAATCAGTTTATCAAGAGCTCCAGGTCACGATTTGGCATCTACTTGACCTCTGTACAACTTCAATTATGGATGTTGAAGAAAAGAAAGTATACAATAGCCCAACCATAGGAGGTATTGCAAGCCTTGCTAATACAATTGCTATTAATTATTCCGGACAGAAGCATTTTAAGCAATGATTTATTCAGGAATATAAGGTCCCCTGCCTATTTAAGAGCTTCAGGATTCCCCTGACCCATGGGAAAGATGCCTAACAGTGTCCCTCCTGGTTAATAACTTAGACCAAATCATATTTTAAATTTTGCAGTAAGAAATAAGTCCACTACAGAAGGGTTAGTTTCATAGTGACAGATCTGCTTATAAGGACCTCCTGAGCAGTAATACTCATCATTAACAATAGTGGTAATGTCTGATAAAAGTACCATACTGTAGTTCCTAGGGTATAACTATAAGCCAACCCCTTACATACTTTTCGCCCAATTTTATGTACTCGGTACCAGCCTGCCCTCAGGCAAAAGCAAGGGTATAGTTCGAACGAAGGGCTTTAGGCTGATAATACTCTTTAAAAAAAATCAAACATCGGCTTTGAATAAAAAAATTTCCTTTTGATTGAAAAAAGGAATCCCCAGGTATAATCCCACACATCAGCCCAATTTTTTACTCAAGGGAGAGGGGGGAGGGGGAAGGGCTTACTGTAGTGACCAGAGGAACTATAGTATTTGTACAGTAAATGACGGCCATTTTTTTTTTTTTTTTTTTTTTTCAGAAAATGATGACTATTGAAAACACTGACACTTAACACATTTAAACATACTCTGAAAACTATAAATATGCAAGCATGACATGCCAAGGCAAAGCAAATTGTAATAACACAACACTATTACTATTAGCTACCACAGTAACAATAGAAAAAAGCAAGCCGAGCACCTCAAACATAGCAGGATAGAAGATGGGGTGTGAAATGCCAGAGTAACGTTAATTTATTATTTACATCAATATTCATCCTACCTGCCTGCTTGTGAATTCGTGATCGGTGGTGAGGATTGCTCGAGCTACTCATCACACAGTGTTGTGTTAACGATGACGTACGCAATATATCCTTCCAAAATTTACAGTAAACTTTTTGATTATCAGCCTCAAAAATACTGATTCCACAACTGAAGTCAACAGATCTGCATCAGTGACAGAGATTGGAACTGTCTTCATTCAATTAGGAGAAGATAGTATGCAACTCCATCTGACAGTACAGTATATTCAATTTTGGGGTTTTTTTTTAAACTTAATTATTTGGCTATGGAAGGCGACTTTGTGTATTTTGTATAGGCTAGACGAAATAAAACATTTTAACTGTCACTGTCAATATATCTCACTGTATCAAACAAGCCTCTATCAAAACGTAATTCGTGCCGAGTTACTGCGTTTCGTATAAATAAGCAGCAGTGACATGTTAATTGTTAATGTCATAAAAGGCAAAGCAAATTGTAATAACGCAGCTCTATTAGCAACCAAAACAACAATAAAGAAGCAAGCCGAGCAGCCACAAACGTAGCATGATAGTAGAAGACAGTGTGAAACGCCAAAACGGGTACGTTAATTTATTATTAAACATCAATATTATCCATCCTACCTGCTTGCTTGTGTAGTCGTGGTCGGTGAGTATTGCCCGAGACACTCATCACCGTGTTGTGTTAACGACGACGAAACGAATGTAATAATCCTTCCAAAATTTAGTAAAAATTAACCATTAAAACCTACATTCACCAGCCCATTTGAATCACCGTTAATTCTACATTGGTGTTGGATTGCAGTGTTAGTATTACTTTCAACCCTTACGAGAAAATTTACCGGGAAAAAATCGACTTTAATCCCTACCACAATTTCTCACATCTGTTTAGCTGCCTATTCCTGTGGCTAGCAATAAAAACTGAATTGCTAGACGTCGGTCCAGTCGTATTTAATGACACCTCAAATCATTATATCACAAGGTAAATATATAAAATTCCTGGATGGCAGGCTAATGATTGGGTGTGGACTACGTACAGTAGTATAATGTACGGTAATGCTTTCTATCTCTGTCCGAAGTTCCCGTGTTTTCGAGCATAATTGATAATATTGTTAATGAAACTGAATCGTTTATTTCCCCAAAAATATTCACACTTAGGCCTATTATTCATTTCTACAACCAATCTGACAATTTACCTTTCCAGTTATCAGACTCTTGAAGAACGCATCCAAATTTCAGATCGAAATACTGCTAATTCACAAAGCAATGTTGCCCTCTGCAACATCAACATCATACGCATGTATAGCACTCTAAATACATGTTTTGCTCCAACTGTTAAACAAAACAATATTGTTTAGTCGCAAGAAAT